ATGCTGCCGGCCGCGCTGCTGGGGCCCCTGCTCTTCGCGGTGGCGTCGGCCTCGCTGCTCCCCCGCGCCGCCGCCGTGCTGCTGGCGGTGACCGCGGCGCTGGCGGTGCGGCTGTACCCGCGGAAGACCATCGACCTGGGCTGGGGAGACCTGGCGGCGGCCTTGTGGTACTCAGGGAAAGAAAAGGTACCCCTACCCCTACCTTCTCTTCGTTTTCCCCCTGTTTCGGGCCTCCTGGTAGGCCACTGTCGCCACCGCTGGATTCACCTCGAAGTCCTGGACTGGCGGTGTTGGTACCTAGTTTGGTTTCCCCAGGTACTCCCTGGTGCCCAGCAGGGACCGGCCGGCGCGCGCACGGGGGGGGGTGGCGCCAAGGAGCGAGAAGCGAGGTTTTCCAAGGTTTGGGCTTGTTTTGGGGATGTTTTTGATATGTTTTTTGGAGTTTTCCCCGGTATTCCAAGGTTTTCCAAGGCCTTGGACTGGTTTCGGGGTTGTTTTTGGATTGCTTTTGGAGGTTTCTGGGATTCTCCAAGGTTTTCCAAGGTTTTGGACTGTTTCGGGAATGCTTTTGGATTGCTTTTGGAGGTTTCTGGGATTCTCCAAGGTTTCCCAAGGTTTTCCAAGGTGTCCACGGTGATGAGGTGTTCTTGGGACTTCGCGGGCCCCGCGGGGTGCTCTCCGTCAGCTGCGCGTCGCCGAGGGCGCTCCGGGGGCGCCCGAGTCGTCCCAGGCGGTCGCCGGAGGCGGCGCGCCGAAGGGGGCGGCGCGACCTCGTAGCCAAGGGGCCTTCGCCGACGCGCCCTGGGCCTCAGCTGCCCTGGTGCGCCCGCTTTCGAGCGCAGCGCGTGCCGCGTTCGAGTCGTCTGTGTCTGCAGCACGCTGCGTGCTGGCCCGGCACGTGCCGGCTCCACGTCTCGGCGAGCGTGCCGCGCCATATGCGCACGTCTGCAGTCTGCATGCCGAGCTCCGCCTCGGCACGCTGCGGGTGGCGTGCTGCGCGCCGGGGCGGCGGGGGCCCGGGATGGTGCTGAGATGGTCACCTGCTCTGAGAGAAGGCCTCTTGGCAGCCAGGGGGGCCTCTAAGGGGCCGCCTGCACTCCTGGAAGCCCCAGCGCCTCCTCGTGAGGCCGTCCCCCCCCCGCGCCGCCCCCGCCGCGCGCGGCGCCGAGAGGAATCCAGGCGCTCGCTGGAGGGCTCGATCGCTGGCGCCTGGTCGCCACGAGGGGACGCGGTGGTGCACCTCTCCGTGCGTACTGGCCTGGACCTCCTGCTGAGGGCGCTCGAGCTGCCCAGGGGCTCCGAGGTCCTCTTCGTGCCGGGCATCACCATACCAGGTATTTTGGGGCGTACCCGAAGGTCAGAGGAGGAAAAGGTACCCATACCTCTACCCTTCCCCCGTGTTCCCCTTTTTTGGGCCTCCTAGGAGGCCCTCGTCGCCACCGCTGGATTCGCTTCGAAATTCTGGTCAGAGCGCACCCCAGGAGAGGTCCGGCGAGTAGCGTCGGGGAAACGTAAGACTCGAGTACGCCGGAACTCGGGTTCGCCGAAGTTTTTTGACGAGCGCGTCCTGGATTTGACGGAGTCTTCGTGGGACGTCTGCCGCGGGAGCTTGCGTCAAACTTCAGATTGGGCTTCGTCATGTCTATGATTGGCCCCCGTCAGGCCAACCTGAGTCCCCCGTACCCGAGTCTGGCGTCTCCCAGGTAGCGGTACTGGTACCTTTTCTTGGTTTCCCCAGAAGGGCCCGGCCCCCGGCGCGCCTCGCCCCATCGGCGGGTGCCGGCGGAAGGCGAGCGGGGGAGCCGGCGGGCGTCAGGCGGCGGCGGGTTTGGCGGAGGAAGCTTGCGGGAGCCTCATCTCAGCCACGCGCAGAGGGGGGTGGGTGGAGGGGGGAGGGCTTCTTAGAGGCACCCCTGCTTCTTAGAAGGCGCGGGCCGTATCTACAGATGTAGGGCCGGCGCCTTCAAAGAAGCAGCCTCTTTCTAAGAAGCCCTCCCCTCTCCCTCCACCCCCTTGTGCGCGCAACCAATTGTCGGCGTCACTGGCGACATGAATAGCCACATCGTGCGCCGATTTTCGGTTGACTTTGCCCAGGCCACTCATGGAGCGTCCGTCCTGAAACCAGTGGGGCGCAGTGCTGCGGAAACAAAAGTCGGTGGAGGGCGGCGGAAGTGGGAGCGAGGCGTCAGCATTCTTGGGGTAAGGGTTTCCTGAGTCGGGCAGGTACCAATGTCACCCAGACATGACAATGCAATGTGCGCGTCTGCACCCCACGGGCGACGCGCGGGCCGAGAAACCTTAAGAGTATCTGCTTAGTAGTGGTGGACACTCTCTGGCCATACCGCTCGGGAAACGATGCATGACAAGACGTTGTGCTGTACGTTCGGGTCGGGCGCACGCCTCCAAGGAGGACGCATCGTACTTGTGTGTCCCTCTGCGGCCCAAGGCATGGTGGAAGTCGTCGAGGCCAACGGCCTCGTGGCCGTGGGAGTCGACCCGCCCTCCGAGAGCCGCCTCCTCGTTGACGAGCTGGCTCCATACCTCACCGAGGCAGGATCGATCTCGATCCGACCCTCCTCCTCCTCCCTCTCCTCCTCCTCTCTCCTCCTCCTCCCTCCTCCTCCTCCTCACCTCCTCCTCCTCCTCCTCTCTCCTCTCCTCCCTCTCCTCCTCATGCCTCCTCCTCCTCCTCCTCCTCCTCCTCCTCCTCCTCCTCCTCCTCCTCCCTTCTCATCCTCCCCGACCTGATTCGATGTCGCTCCCGTCCCGTTCGACCCGATGCGTGTCCGACGTGCCGACGATCCGATGCAGCCCGATGCTCGCACGGCGATGTTGTGCAGCCTCCCTGCGCGGCCGGTCCGATTCGGTTTCGACTCCGGGCCGATGCAGCCCGATCCGACGCACATCTCGATTCCATCCGACTCCTCGATTCGATTCCGACTGACCCGGACCCCCGACGTCATGATTTCTTATAGCGCCGGTCCCCCGGGACCGGTTTCTCGTGCCGAGTCGTTTCTTGAGGGTCCCGGGGCCCAGCGCGGGCCTCCGGAGGCCGAGCACAGCGAAAAAACCTCCCGCCACGACTCTGCCGTGCCCCGATGGGGGAGTCTGGGGATCTCCTGCCGAGGGCACCCGGGTGCTCGTGGTGACCCACCTGTTCGGGACCGTGTTCGAGGCCTCGGCGCTGATCCGGGAGGCGAAGGAGCGGACGGGAGGGCCGCCCGCGGAGGCGCGCGGCGGCCCTCCCGCGGGCCAGCCTCTCCGCTCGAGAGGTCCGTCCCCAGAGCCCCTCCCTCGCGGGCGATGTCTCGCCACCTCGTCCTCGTCCTCGTCCTCCTCGTCCTCGTCTTCGTCCCCTCGTCCGCGTCCTCCTCCTCCTCCTCCTCCTCCTCCTCCTCCTCCTCCTCCTCCTCCTCCTCTCCCTCGCCCTCCTCGTCCGCGTCCGCCGTGGGCCTCGAGGCGGGGGTCGATGCAACAAACGGGGATCAGTTGGAGCGCCGGACCTTGCGGGGCCCTGCGGAGCCAAGGTCGCCTTGACCCGGGCTGGCGTGCAGGATCCTGCAGGATCTTGCACAGGGTCTTGCAGGATCCTGCTAAGGTCTGACCGACCTGGGTCAACATTGGCCCTGCTGGTCCGTAGATTCCCGGATCCGCCCCCGGACCCGTCCCTCGCAGGCGATTTCTCGCCCCGACCCCCGGCTTCTCCACTTGCCATTGCTCGGACGTTTCCCCGTCGGCCAGGGCCATCGAGGAGGATCTTGGAGCATCTTACGAGAAAGCACATATAAAATCGACAGATGGATGTGGAATGGACCCCCGAGCGATGGCAAGATCAGGCCGCTCAGAAAAGTAGGGGAACTCGGGGATGCACCCCCAGGGTGGGGCAAGAAAATCTTGTAGTATATTCGCTGTGGCGGGCGTTTTCTGGCCACACCGATCGGGAAACGATATACTACAGTATGGGTATACTACATGTTCGGGTCGGACGCGCGCCTCCGAGGAGGACATATAGTATTAGTGTGTCTCTGCGCGTCCCATTGAGGTGGTGCTCCCTCCCTTCCCCCTCGTTCCTTAGAAAAGGGGCCCGTGCTTTTTTTCATCCTCTGGCTCTCGCCTCTCCGTCTCTTCCCGCTCTAGGCCCCTCCACCGCACCAGTGCGGAGCTCGGTCCGTCCTCTCCTCCCTGCCCCTCCTGCCTGGTTTTACGTCGGGCGGGAAGAAATATCAAGAATAGTGAAACATGGTCTGGGGACGATTTTTTTGATAATTCTTGACAATGTGTGAATCTCCTTTTAACTCATTTGCATGTTTCGTCCAACATCTGCCTGTAGGAGGACATGCCCGACCTAAGCCTGGTTGGCGCACCCCCCTCCAATCCGAGGGGAGGAGAATGAAGAGGAGGAGGGTCGAGGATCGACGGTCGAGAGCTTGGAGGGGGCGAGGAGGGCCCTGGGAACACCACGATTCGCGCTGGCGCCGTCTGGGAATTGGCTGCCCCGAGCAATTCCTAAACGGCGCTGGCGCGAGCCTCCCGGGTAACGGTCGCTATCGCGAATCGCAGCAGCAACGCGCTCCAATCGACGGGGCCCTCCTCCCAGAGGAGCGCGGTCTCCTCCTCCTCCTCCTCCTCCTCCTGCCCGTCCCCGTCCCTGTTCCCCTATTATTCTTCTTGTCCTTATTGTTTTTCTTTTTCTTATGATCATAGTTGTTATTGTTATTGGTCTTATTCGTATTATTCTTCTTGCTATTACTGTTACCATCAGCAATCGGTATGTATACATGCATGCATGTCTGTATGTATGTATGTTTGTATGTATGCAGGTATGCATGTATGTATATATTAGTATTCTTACTATTGTGTTGGTTGTTGCTGTATTACGATTCTTGTTGTGTATATTCTTGTTCTTAGGAAAATCATGCGGGGGGGGGGGGGCCCCCGACGCGCAGGAGGTGTCAACCCCCCTTCCCCTTCTCCTCTTCCTCCTCCTCCCCTTCCTCCTCCTCCTCCTCCTCGTCCTCCTCGTCCTCCTCCTCCTCCTCCCCCCCCTCCGCCTCTCCCCCTCCGCCTTCTCCTCTTCCTCCTCCTCCTCTTCCTCCTTCTTCTCCTCCTTCTCCTGCTCCTCCTCCTCTTATTCGCGGTGTTGAAGTCCCAGGAATGGTGTTCTGGCAGGACTCAGTATGATCAAGATGCAGCAGTCTGGTTAACTCGCGGCGTTGAATCCTGAGAATCGTGTTTCGGCACGGTTCCGGATTTTCCTACGGTTGTCCCACAACGGGGCATTTCCCTCAGTGGACATGAACCTTTGTAGGGGCCTATGAAGAGGGAGCTTGGAAGGAGAGTGTATTCCAACATCGTTAATGAGTCGTGGGTCTGCACTGGTCCTCCTCCTCCTCCTCTTCCTCCTTCTCCTCCTCCCATCGACGGGCCCCCCCTCCGAGAGGAGTGCGGCGTCCTCGCCGATGCGACTTCGGACTCGGATTTGGATGTCGGTCCTCTCACTGGAGGCCCTACGAGCCTGTCGAGTTCCGCCGATCCGACTACTCCCGATCTGGCCGCCGACTTCCGCCGACCGGATTCGTTTCGATCAGGGGTCGACCTACGCCGTGTTTTGGCGATTTCGTGGGCCGTCTTCGTTTCGATGTCGTTTTGCAGCAAGGGCGGACTGGAGACAAAACGATGGAAATCGAGACCAAAACGAACACGAAAAAGACTGTTTACGTCGATCCCTCCTCCTCCTCCTCCTCCTCTCCTATTCTCCTCCTCCTCCTCCTCCTTCCTCCTCCTCCTCCTCCTCCTCTCTCTCCTCCTCCTCCCCTCTCTGTCCCTCCCCCTATTCTTCTCCTCCTCCTCCTCCTCCTCCTCCTCCTCCTCCTCCTCCTCCTCCTCCCCCTATTCTCCTCCTCCTCCTGATTTCGATCGCTGACCCGACTTCTCGATTCGACTCTGTGCCCTCTTGGCTGCGCTCGACGGGCCCCCCATCCGAGAGGAGCGCGGCCTCTTCGTCGTCGAGGACTGCGCGCAGGCCTTCCTGGGCGCCCCCGCGGCTTCGGTAGCCGGCGCGGGCGCCTCCCGCGGCCGGGGCGGCTTCCGCGGCAGCGAGGGCGTGGACGCCGCCTTCGTCAGCTTCGGCACCTCGGGGGCAACGTTCGGTTCGCATGCAACTCCCGGGAGGTCAAATTCTGACTTTGCCCTGGTCCGAAATCCGGCTAAATCCTGCTAGATCCCGCTTCATCCAGCGTAGTCCCGCTTGGTCTGGCTCAATCCCGCTTCACTCGCGGCCGAACCCGGCGTAGCAGCCCCCAATGGGGCTTGATCCTATCTTCTTAGATCCTTCCGACGAAGACCTCCCTGTGCTTGCCTCTTGAGTTTCAGGAGGGGAAAAAACACACAGACACAATTAATCGTCGATTTCCCAGAAAATATGGGAAAATATGGGAAGTGGGGGGGAAGACAAAAACCCAGAAAATATAGGAAAATATGGGGAATATTTTTATTTGTGTGTATTTATTTGTGTGTCCTGGGGCCCCTTCAGAGTTGGGAGCACCGTTTCCGGACGACCTTCAAGCAGTGGCGAGGCGTCCCGGCGTACCTGTAGGCCCACCAAACAATGTTCTAAGAACCTTATGTGGTTACCAGGAAATGTTCTAAGAACATTTCGGGCTGGGGCTGTCTTGTTTTGGTACATCGTGCATTGTTTTTGTTCTTAGAACATTTTTGTGTTCCAAGAACATGTCGTGGTAGGCCTATAGGAATGCCGGGACGGTCGGCCCCTGCTCAAAACCTCGGGATGCTTTCCACCAGCGGCGCCTCGCCGAGAGCGTTCTGGGGGTGCCCGGATCGTCCCGAACGGCCGTCAGGGAGCCTTCGACAGCCTCGGCATTCGGGGGCAACGCTTGGGGGGATGGGCTCAAGGGGGGGCGAAGCTTCGAGGTCGAATCGGCGCCACCCCAACATGCTTCTACTATATGTGCGTCGCCCCCCCAGGGGCGACATGCGCACCGAGAAATCTTGCAGTACATGCATTGTGGCGGGCGATTTCTGGCCACACCGCTCGGGAAACGATATACTACAAGACGGGTGTACTACATGCTCGGGTCGGACGCGCGCCTCCAAGGAGGACATATAGTACTAGTATGTCCTTGTGCCTCCCATTCGAGGTTCGAGGTTTTCGGACGCTTTCGCAGGTTCTCGGCGGCTTTCCAGCCTCGAGGCGCTCTCCGGCAGCTGCGCCTCGCCGAGAGCGTTCCAGGGGTGCCCGGATCGACCTGGACGGCCGCCGGAGAGCTGAGTTATGACCCGGACACCATCAGGGTATATGCTCAGGGGGGGATGCATCGACCCCCAATCGCCCATTGATCGCCGATAGGGATTTGATAGCCCCACCCCGCCCAGGAGCGTGTGTATTTGCTATCGGGGGCATGTCGCCGATCTATCGGCGATTAATCGCCGATTCCAGGTCGATACTTCCCCCAATATGCCATTTCCCCTTATTCAGAGTAGGATTCGACTACATAAATAATTGATCTACCTCACAATTTGTTTTCTCGCTGGAGCTAGATTCCTCCGTAAGTCCACTGAACATTTTACGTGTTTGTTTGCAGACCCTACCGAACATCCAGTCTTGGGGGTCAATCAATTCTGTTGTCGATCTCTTACTCGATTCTCGTTGCCCCCCCAGGCACGATGAAGACCCTGACTGCCCTCGGCGGCTGCGTGGGCTTCATCCGCGACGCGTCGCTGCGGGGCAGGGTGGAGCAGGCCCGGGGGCGTCCAAGCGGGCAAGACGACGAAGAGATGCCGACACCGCTACCCCTCCTCGTCCTCCTCCTCCTCCTCCTCCTGCCCCCTCCTCCTCCTGTCCCCTCCTCCTCCTCCTCCTCCTCCTCCTTCTCCTCTCTATCTATCTATCTACAGTTCAAGGCAGAGCGGTGATGCCTGTACAAAGCGGGATTGAAAGAGCAGGACGAGAGCAAGCAGGAAAAGGGGAAGGCGAAGCTCCTCGTGAAAAAAAACGCTGGGATGATAACGATAGCCCAGCACGGTCCAGGCCCCACCCCCCCAGCCGCCGCCAGACCCCAGGCAGCAACGGGGGGGACGAGGGAGAGAGAAGGGGGGGGCGGGGACAAACTGAAACGAAACCCACCCCAACCCAAACCACCCTTTCGAACGGAGATCACCTGGACTCCGCGAGGGAATAGGGGAGTTGGAGCCATGTGTGAGGAGGGGCGAGAGGAGGAGGAGGAGGAGGAGGAGGAGGAGGAGGAGGAGGAGGAGAAGGAGGAGGAGGAGGAGGGAGAGGGGGAGGAAGACGAGAGGGAGGGGGAAAAACAGGACAGAGACAGAAAGGGAGGCCCCAAACATGGCTCCAGACTCCCAGGGCACCGAAACCTACAGGGACGACGAAAGCCGGCACACCCCGGGGGGAGAGGGGAAAAGAGAGGCACAGAGGGGGGAAGAGACAGGGAAAGAGAGGCAGGGAGGGAGGGAGGGAGGGAGAGGAGGCGAGGGACAGCAGCAAGAGGAAATAACGGCCAGGACCGTTACAACCCCCAGCCACGAGGGGGGCCGACGCTCGGAGTGCCCGAAGCTTCGATGCCCGTACCTGGACCTATTACGACGACGCCGAGGAACATCGTAAACGTAACGTTCATGTCAAGGAAGCAGTTCACGCAGTGCAAACGTAAGGATCAAGAGGAGCAAAAAGTCGTTCCACGTCGCTCCAGTCCTCGAGGCTCGTGTGGTCAGAGCCTAGTTGGGGAAACCTGGTGCGGACCGCGTGGACCACAGCAGTCGCCAAAAGCTCACAAAAAAGAGAGGGGTAAGGCGTTTTTTCCCCGGCCCCCACCTCCCCTGAAGCAGCTAAAATGGTGGGACGGGGATGGGAAATGTGGGTGCACCGTCCATGATACGGGACGGCCCCAAGAATCACGGCAAGTGGCTCGCACGCCACAGCGCACACAGTGGTAGGTCGTCGTCCTTCCGCCCCGAACCTGCATTGGTCCACAGTGTGAGCTGCCACCTCCCTGGACGCCACGAGCGCGTGCACCTCAGGGAGGTCCCAAACGCTGGGCGCGTCTGGTTGCCACTCACTGGCCCGCGCAGGGTGGACCATCAGAGCTGGCACCCGCAGTCGCTGGGCCATGTACAAAAACCGGATGTTAGCTTGAAGGAGGGTGTTTTCGAGTCGCACCTGCTCGCTTTCAGCCTTCGTGAGATGTTTGCACCCCCATCTGGAGGAGTGGCCCCTCACCGGTCGCATGGCGCAAGGACGAGTACTGGGGTAGTACCTGGATGCGCTCCACGTGGCACCGGGGGGGGTGGCAACCACAGCGCAGACCCTCGCCTCCTTCATCTTCTGGAGCCACTTCGACACAGTATCAGAATGTGCGATGTTTCCTTCTACAGGGTCCACGCCGCTGGCAAAGGTGAGCGTGATGATCGGGAGACCCCAACATTTAGCAGTGCGCTCAACATGTGATTGAAAGTCCCCCTCTCTGCGAGCCCCCGCGCACAGATGCAACAAAAACATAGGTGCGTGATGATCCAAACTGGGAGGAACCTCCAGTTCCGGCTGAAAGGGGGGATCTTGGGGCGCAACCTGGGGCAAATCAACTTCATGCTCACGCTCGCCCCCGGGGTGCCCAACCGGCGGCCCAAAAACTCGTAAAGGGGTTTTTTGCGCCCAATTCCAATCACGACCCGCTTCCCGATTTGCCTTCTGGTCCCGAGCAATGGCCTCGCGGTTGGCAGTGACTTCGTCCTCACTGGGGCGCACAGGGGACTGAAGCCAAGCCAGGCGGCACGAAGCAACGCGCTTGAGATGCTTGTGCAAACGACCTGGCTGCCAGAACTCTTTGCGACAGACTTGGCACTCCGTGCCCGTGGCGAACCGTGCTACACTGTCGGATGTCTGATGCAGTTTTCCGATATGAGCCCTGAGGGTACGCGCGCTGGGCGCCACAAAACCACACGAGTAACACAAGAACTGGGGAGAGGGAAGGGGAGGAGGCACCAACTCAGTCCCCTCATTTTCCTTGGCCAAACAACGCTGCCAAATGGCGGCCTCAGCGCATATGGCGTGCCATCTCTTGGCACGGTCGGCAACGCGCGCAAGCCACGACCGGAAGCTTCGCGCCTGCCCCCGGATGAAAGCAAACCAATCCCCTGGGGTTTCGATTCCCTGAAGCTCCCCCGGGGCAAGAAACGTGCGGAACCAGGCGAGGTCGCGCCGAATCTGAGCCGGCCACCCCCAACTAGCCTGCCACAGAACATCGAGGAGAAACCTGAGGCGCGGCGGAGCAGAGGTGAGCACCACTGCCAGATGGCGAAGCCTCATGATAGTAAGCGGAACCTGTACAGGCGGCCTCTGCAAAGCCACCTGGAGTTGCGCCTCGGACATGTGCAATTCACCGTTGTTCGTTGCGGAGAGGCCGAGGGGCATGCGGTACATAGCGTGATAAGCCGTGGTGAGTTTGTCCATCACACCCTTCGGTAGCTCGGCCCACGTTTCGGCAGCGAAAAAAAGTTTGGTGCTGGCCAGGGCATCCGTGTACAAGACCTTTTTGTGAAGCGGCACCCGTGGCCGGGGGGCCAAAACGCGCCGGATCGGCAACGCAGCCGCTCTCATGCAGCGAATGCGCGCGCAAATCTCAGGTCCCATGGCGTTGTCCCTGGCAACCGAGACCCCCAAACATTTTTGAACCGAAACAACAGCAAGCGAAAAACCCCACTGCTGCGACGTGATCACAGGGGCCTCCTGGAATTTCAAGCCCGTTTCAAAAGCTTGGGAGCCCTTTCCCCTAAACTGCATAAGGACCTTCGTCTTGTCAAAATTCATGTGGAGTCCATGCATCGCAACGTTCTGGTACAATATGTCAACAACACGGACGGTGCGATCCTTGAGCTCAGACGCCCCAGACGCAGCCACAGGGACGGTCAAGTCGTCCACGAAAGACGTGGCATCCGACAAATAATCTCGGTCTGACGCCACTGCAAAATGATCTGAAACATGCTGGGGGGTCCGCTGCAGACCGTTAGCTTCAAGATCCGCGTCCAGCGACGTTTGCAACGAGGAGAAAACGACATTGAAAACGTCAGTGCCTAAAATCTTGCCCGCGCCCGTGCTGGTGGCGGGCAGGGTAATTTGACTAGAACCTTCCATGGTCCAAAGGGGTGTGGACTGGCTAGCTCTCACCAGCGCCAGAAGATGGCCCTCCTCGAGATGCTTCTCTAAAACAGGACCCTGTCGGAGCTGCCATTTAGCTCCTCGAATCAAGATTTCTGGAAACTCCAGGGTGTCGAGGGCATGATCCAGAGCTTCCTGCTCCGACGGTAGGCTCAAAGCAAATTTCCGTATAGTCCGGTAAAACGCTTGCTTCAAATCCACGAAGATCAAAGCCATGGATTGGCCACTCGCCCGAGTGGCGTCCACGAAGGTCCGGATGAGGTGCCCTGCCACGACGCACGACCGACCTGGCAGGCCACCGCACTGAGTGGTGAGCATGGCGGCAGCGAAGAACTCAATTGCCAAGCTGCGAATGTGCCTGTGGAAATGTTTGCAAACCACATTTGGAACAAGGATGTTTCTTTGGTTTTTGTCCCGGCCAGGCTCCCCCACCCCTTTGTAAAAATACGTGACCCGACCTAGTTTGAAATTGAAGGGCTCTTTTGTGAGAAGAGCTGTCTTGGTCATCAGTGGATGGTACACCCTCGCCATGGCTTCGGGGGCAGCGCGGCACAAATCATCCAGAACCCCGTCTAACCCCGCAGACCTACGCGACGCGGCTTTTCGAAACAAGTTTTCCCGGCGGCAACAGCCTCGACCTGCTCGCCAACGTGGGCTCCGTTGTCAGGGCCACGCGCCGCCACTTCATAATCGGGGCCGACGAGAACATGCTGCCCGACGCGGTTGACGACGCGCAGCTGCTCCCGCCCCTGGGCGCTCGGCTGGCCTGCTCGGGCCGCGCCGCCTGCGTCGCGCCGGCCAGGAAGGTCGTTTTCGTTTGTGTTGATCAGGGCCTGCCCGCGCGCGATGTTCGCCGCTGCGAGCGCCTCGCCGTGAAAGCGCGTCGCGCCGTAATTATGCGCCCGCTGCCGCCCGAGCCTGGCAGCCAAGTCGCGCGCGTGCGTCGGCCCGAGGCCATCCGTGCGCGGGCGCTGATGAGCCCGCAGCTGCCTGGGCCCGACTGGGGCGACGTGCTGGACGACCTCTTCACCGTCTCCTCCGCGGCTGGCTTGGAGGCGGCCTGCGGCCGCGTGCTGGGCCGTTGCGAGGGCGAGCCCGCGCTGCGCTTCAACCTCCTGGACTCGCGGGGCGAAGGGGTCACCGCGGTTGGAGCCATGGGGCGCGTCTGGTCCAGATGCAGATCGACGGGCGGCCCGCGGCCAAGCCCGACGCGGCCGGCGCGCGCTGGAGCTGGCTGGAGGAGCGCCCCCGTGAGCGGCGCGCCCTGCTGCGAGCGGGCAGCGCGACCCGCGCGCGCCATTTGCAAGTCGAGCTGCTCCGCTGCAGGTCCCCCGTGCAGGGCTCGCGGCCGCCGCCGTGGCAGGCTCGGCGACGGCTGGCGGTTCGCCTCCAGAATTTCCGCGAGGCCGGCGTCGACCTGCCAGCGATCGACCTCCGCGGCGCGACGACGGCGGCCGAGGGGCGCGCCTTCCACAAGCGCTACAACCACGGGCTGGACTGGACACGCGACGCCACCTCGCCCGAGGGCGCGCGGAGAGGGTTCCGTTGGATCCGCGTGCCTGCGCCCCAGGCTGCGGCTCGCTGGCCCCCCGCGGCGGGCCCGCAGACGGCGGCCGCGGAGGCTGCCATCCGCCCTTGGCGCGCGCTCCGGGGCGAGGGCGCTGGGAGCGCGGCCGTCCGCTGGCCCGCGGACCTCGGTGAGGCCCCGTCGCTGCCGACGGTCGACGACCTGCGTCGCGTCGGCCACTCCTTCCCGCGCGTCGCCGACTTGGGCAGGGGCGCCTTTCGCCCGCGCCGCGTCGCCTTCCTGTCGGGCGGGGCCCTACAGGCCCTCATCAGCGTCTGGGGGCGCGTGCTGAACCTGGGCCATGTGCCGCGGGCGCTGGCCATGCTGGTCCTCGCCCCGAAGGCCGAGGGGAGCGCGCGCGCCGTCGGTCTTCTCCCAGTTGCGCTGCGGCCCTTCGCGCGCTGGGCGCGCGATGCGGGCGGTGCCGCCTTGGCCACGCGCCACCATCGTGGCTGCATCTTCGGCGCCCCGGGCCAGTGCTCTAGACCTGCGCCTGGGTCCAGGCGGCCGGCGAGGAGCTGGCGACGCGCCGCATGCAGGCGGCCTGCCCGGTGCTCACGGACCTGTCGAAGCGGCTCCTCATCCCCCTCTACGCCATGCCGCGCCTGATTACGGTGGATGGCATCGCCTTGGAGATCTGCGCCCCCATGCGCGGCGTCGTCGCGGCGTTGCGCATCGCGGACTCGTTCACGGGGATATTCCCGCTCCCGCGGCCCTGCGATATCGCAGCCCTCGGCGCGATTGGCTTCGGCAGCGCGGTGGGCGATGTCCAGCTTGGCGACGCAGGCGCGGCCGAGAGCGCGCCCGCCCGCGTCGGCTCGGCCCGCGCCGAGTTGCGCCGCGGCCTGATCGCGGATGGCCTCGTGACCGACGGCGGCAAGGGCGCGGTGCTCGCCGGCGACGCCGCCTGCGGCCGCGAGGTCATGCGGCGCTGCGCGGCGCCGCGGGGGAAGCCGCGCAGGTCGGCGCGCAATCTGGGCGTGGATTTCGGCTGCGGCAGGCGCGCGGGGGCAGCCCCCTCGGCCCTCTTCGTTCACGCGGCTCGTCGCTCTCTGACCATCAACCCCCCCTCTCGCCCGCTGCCCTGGTCTGCCGATCCCGCTTTCGCCTGCGCCGCGGGGCCGATCCACGTGCTGACCCAAGCGGTCTGGGCCTCCTGAGCCCCGGAGCGTTTATCGCGCGGCTGCTTCTCGCCGTTGGCTCCGCGTTCTCGGATGACTTTGGTTTAAAAGGTGACTGGGCCCTGGTCCGCGGTCCGATCTCTGCTGCCGTCGCTTGCTGCCGTCAGATTGGGTGTGCGCTCGGCCCATGAGCATGCACTTTAGCTACTCAGGACGTCTACGCGTTAGACCTCGCTGCCGTGTATCCACGCACGTTCTTGAATCTTCTGCGTCAGGGTGCGGGGGATTGGCTGCTGATCGAGCCCAGCAGCGTAACGATTTCATGCTGGTCCTCGCGCGTCGTCCCTACCCCCCTCCGCCGCCTCTGCAATTCGGCGAGAGGCACCGACTGGGCCCCGCAGCGTCAGTCTAGTCTTCGTGCTATTGTGTTGGATGGCATTTGGGGTCAGGCTCGGAAGTTTCGCCGTGGCCCTGCGACCGACTCGATTTGCCCCTGTGCGGCCTGAGCGGCACGTGCCCGGGTACTTTTGCGGACTGGGCCTCGGGACAGTGCGCTGCCGCGGGGGCCTTCTTTTGAGATTGCGGCCTCCCTCCCTCCCTCCCTCCCTCCCTCCGCTCCGACCCGGGGGAGCGCCCCGTGTTGGCTCTCTGGAAGCACGGCCTGGTCCTGAACCTCGGCCCTGGCCACCTTGCACCTCTGCCTTCCTCCTCGTCAAATGGCCCAAGCGGCCTGCCGACGGCGCCCTTGAAGGCGAGGCCTTCGGAGGCGGCTCCTGCTTGACATTCGTTCAGTGGACGCGCGCCTCCGCCGTGCAGGGTTGTGTGTCGCGCATGTGGACGGGACCTTCGCCCTCCTGGCGTCCTCGTGCGGCCTGTTGCCTGGCCCGCACCAGGCTTCTGACCTGCAGTTCAAACCTGGCGGAAGCGTTCGCCATGCTAATCTATCCCACGTGCGTTTCGCTATGGCCTTTTCGCTTTTTTTCTTTGAGTGCGGCTGGGTCGTCTGGGGCTTCGCGCGCGGCTCCGCCGAGACTGCGGCCGCCCACTGTGAGGCTGCCGACCTGTGGATTCGGGCATGGGATCGGGTGGGCGACTTGGAGGGCGGGGCCGAGGTGTGCAATGTCGAAGGCCACGGTCGCCGTTGCCAGGATGGCGACGTGGCGCGGGGGGCCATCAAGCGATGCGACAACCATCTTACTGACCATGGGCCGCGCGTGGGCGCCTCCCTGTACCCTTCCGATGCTGTGGCGGGGGCGCGCCACGCGCACCTTCAGCCTCGCCGCCTGCGTGGCGAGGTTCCTAGCCCGCACCTTGGAGGCCGTGCCCCCCCCCCGCCCGCAGGCGGCGCCGAAACATGGCCACCTGCGGCGTGCGAAGCAGCGGCGTGCGAATCCCTGCCCTGACGGCGGACGCGGTGCCGCCTCTCGGCTTGCACAGGCCCGTGCCGTGCGACGCGGGCTTCGAATGCGCTCGTTGCTTCTGCGTCGCGCGTGCGCGCGGCGCCTTCGCTGCTGCCGAGCGCGCCCCTGGCAGCGGCTATCGGGTGTGGTGCGTGGGCCCCGTAGTTCCCTGCGCCCGCTGCGGCGCTCACTCGAGCGCGAGTGCGCAGCTGCTGGCGCTCCCTTGCCGCGGTAGGGTCCCGTCCCAGACCCGCCCACGGCTGAGCCGTTAGTGGGCGGGCTCCCACCCTCGCTCGGGCCTGCCGCTGCAGGCCGCCAGGCGGGGGCAGCTGAAGCCGCGGCCCTCCATTGAGTTCGTCCACGGCGCCCTGTGCGGCGGTTTGGCTATGGAGGACGAACACATCGAGGGGCCCTAGCTTCCTGTCCTTGCCCGCTGGCACTCCCGAGAGGGATGTGCTCGGGCTTTTCTTATGTTTTCGTGCAATTGCCCGAGTCTGCTTGCGTCGGCGTGCACGCCTGCAGCTGCGCCTGGACAGAACTTCTCCTCCTCCTCCTCCTCCTCCTCCTTCTCCTCTTCCTCCGTTTCCTCTTCCTCCTCCTCCTCCTCCTCCTCCTCCTCGCCACGGCTGGGTTCGCCTGGAAATTCTCGTCGGAACGCACCTCGGGATAGGCTTGCGGAGCAGAAGTGCAGTCGGACCGAGGTAGAAGATCGAGGTCGGTTCGGAGAGGGTGCCCTAAAGCTCTTCGTGTAAGTTGGACGCTCTTGTGCATCCTGGGGAGGGCACATGCCTCGTGTTCTTGAGGATGTTCTTGAGGTAGGAGGTCGAGGAGGAGGGCCTTGTGTTCTTGAGGGATGTACTTACGGGATGTTCTTGAGGGATGTTCTCGAGGAGTTGGGCGTGTTGGCCGGCGGAGGTCCTCGGTGCTCTCGAGGGATGGTCTTCTGGCCTGGGTCCCGCTGTGCCCGTCCCTCGTCGCCACGGCCAGGTTCGCCTGGAGATCCTGGTCAGAACGCACCTCGGGGGAGGCCTGGGGAGCAGCAGTACAGTCGGACCGAGGTAGACGATCACGGCCGGTTCGGGGAGCGTGCCCTACAGTTCTTCGTGTAAGCTGGACGGTCTTGTGCATCCTGGGGGGGGGCACCGTGCGTTTTGGCCGGCGGAGGGCCTCGTGTTCTTGAGGGCGGTTCTTCTGGCCTGGGTCCAGGTGTGCCCGTCCCTCGCCGCCACGGCTGTGTTCGCCTGGAGATCCTGGTCAGAACGCACCTCGGGAGAGGTCTGTGATACACCTGTTTTCCACCACCACCACCGTGGGTTCGAGGGGAGGAGGAGGAGGAGGAGGAGGAGGAGGAGGAGGAGGAGGAGGAGGAGGAGGAGGAGGAGGAGGAGGAGGAGGAGGAGGAGGAGGAGGACCCCCCCCTCCAACTTGTGGTGGTGGTGGTGGTGGAAAACGCGCCCATCAATCTGGGGAGTAGCAGTATCGGTTCTGCATGTTTCACCAGAGTGTGGCGAGGACGTTTTCGTCAGTTCTTGGAGGAAGGTCTCGTTGGTTCTTGGAGCTCTTTGCGCCCCGGGAGCCTCTCCTGCGGGCTGCGCCGCGTCGAGAGCCTTCTGGGCAGCCGAATCGTCAAGAAGGTGCGCCGCAGGCCAGAGTTACCTCTGACCCAAGGAGCTGCCAGGCGTCGAAGGGGGGAGGGGAAGGACCAGGGACGTGTGGATGTCTCGTGGCCGTGGTTCCGACATCTCCCAGGTTTCATTGCCCCCGCTTCCTCTTTCGAGGCGTCCCCAGTTCTGCTCCTCCCCCCCCGTCGTCCCTGCACGTGCGTCGGGCCCGGATGCGCAAACCCCCTCTTCCTGGCCCCCCCCGCTTCGGTGAACCCGAAAGGCGCAGGAGGCACTTCCCACCAGATCGGCCCTCCAGTTTTTCACCACGGTGCTGAAGGGCTGCGTCATCAAGCTGCTCGGGCACCCTTGTGCTTGGGGCCTCGTTGCTGCCTTGTGCTCCGTGGTCGGCATGGATGCGTCAGGCCGACGCCACGCCCACGGACCCCTTTGATATTCCCAACCACCCTGTGTTGGGGCCTGGTTTTGAGCAGAGCACTGCTGCTCCTTCCTCCTCCTTCCTCCTCTCTCCCGCCTCCTTCCCTCCTCGAGTGTCCTCCTCCTACGCCTCGTCTTCTTTCTCCTCTTCCTCCTCCTGATCCTTATCACACTCCTCCTGTTCCTTTCTCCCTCCCAGTTTCCCCTCTCTCTCCATCTCTCTCCCTCTCTCTCTCTCTTCTCTTCTCTTCTCTTCTCTTCTCTTCTCTTCTCTTCTCTGGGTGCTGCCAGGCGGGGGCGCAACTGTCACCGCTTTGCTGCGCCTCTAGAGGTCCAGCAGAGAGCGATCTCACCCAGGCCCTGAAGAGACTTCGCCCTGCCTGGGTGGTGCCAGCGGTACGTGTCGCCACCTTGTTGTGGCCCTGATGGGTTCAGCGGAGCGCGGTCCTACCTAGACCTGCGCCCCTCGCGTCCTGGGGTGGTGACAACCGCGCACCTGTCGCCACTTAGCTGCGCCGCTGCGAGGTCCAGCGGTCTGCAGTCTTCCCTGACCCAATTCGTGACCCCACCTCCTTGGGTGCTGCCAACTGGGCAACTGTCACAGCTTGTGCGAGCTTCGGGGAGGTCAGCGGATTTTGGTCGTACTCGGATCCGGTCGAGACCTCGCTTCATCTAGTGCTGCCAGTTGCGCAACTCTCGCGAGAAGCAGGAGGAGGAGGAGGAGGAGGAGGATGAGGAAGAAGAGGAGGAGGAGGAGGAGGAGGAATAATAATAATAACACTAATAATGAAAATAATGATAATAATAAGAAGAAGACGAATAAGACGAATAATACTAAGAATAATAACGATAATAACAATAATAATAATACCAATAATAAGAAGACTAAGAATAATAATACGAATAATACTAATAATAAGACGAATAATAAGAATACACAGAAGACGAAAACGAATAAGAATATCCCTCGGTCGTTGAAAGTAGGTATTTTTGGATTCCCGGATTCCAATCTACTTTCAGCGCCTTCCTACTTCAAGAGGCGAGTGGTTTTCCCTCTTCCCTTCTCTTCAGGAGGCGGGGCGGAAACCCGATCTATTTCCAGCGCCTTCCTACTTCATGTTTATACCCACTTCTTCCGACCGATGGGTAATACGAAGAATAAGACGAAGACGAATACTGAGAATACTAAGAAGACGAATAATAAGACGAATGATAAACATACGAATAATAAGAATCACATTCAGACGAAAAATAAGAGGACTAATACGACGACGAATAATAATAATACTAATAAGACGAATAACAAGTGGCACGTGTGCCATGGCTCTTGCACAAAAAGGAAGGGGGCGGAGGAGGATGTGGAGGAGGAGGGGGGGGGGGGGGAGGATGCCAGAAATCGCAGAAGGGTAGCGGACAAAACAGGGCCGCAAGAGGGGCTCCAGAGGCGCTGAGCG